TTGACATGAATCCATATGAAATGGTGATTTCCAAAATTCAAAGTGTAAACCTAATGCATTGCAATTAAAAAGGCTGTTATGTTGGCAAATAATTTGACCTAGAGGGGGCATGTACAAAGAAAAAAAGACAAGGTAGAACCCTGTGGAACTCCAGCAGTCATAATAGCTGATGTAGAAAAGTATTACCAGTGTTACCTGAAAAAGTCTAAGAGAAAGTTTAATTTAAGCCACTTAACATGAATCTGACTATGACTGGCTATATATAAATCACAACACCCAAATTATAATTTCTTTGACATGTTTTAGCCATCTGCTACAGATTATTGTTACTGCAGTTCGGCATTTATAGATCTGGTAGAACAAGTTATTGTTAAAATCAACTGCTTTAAATTGTGAAATAGATTTTAGCCAAAGATCATTTCCAGACTCTGGCCATATAGTCCGAATACCATATGTATATAATGTGAATGAGAATCTAAACACATAGAGAACCTAAAACTTCAGCACGGACCATTTAAACTTAACATGTTTGTACTGATCACGATAAAAAGAAAGGTTTGCGTGAACTTTTCTAGGTTAGCTTGCACATGGATGCAAAACATGGATGCAAAACACTAAATCTGAACAAACATTTAATTTTTCATCCTGTTTTTAATACAGTTTAAATGTCAGTGTGGTTCACATGCAAATGCAGCTACTGCTAATGCATTAATATAGATAACATGCTGTGTTTTTGTGTGTGTTGCTGTGCACACTCAAAAATGTTACATCCTGGAGGAAATGAGTCTGTACTTAAGTCAAAGAAGAAAAAGAATGAATAAACACAGATAAAACTGAAGGAAAAACCCAGGAGGAGGTGGTTTCCACCCTTATTAATCAGCTGAATAACTGGATTAGAGGAAAGTAAAACCTTAACGTTAAACATTTAGAAAGGAAGATCAACTTTCAGGAGTTCATGTTCGTCAGAAGAGTTTTGTGTATTCAAGAGCTCGTCTCGACTTCTGGCAGTGACGTTTACAGTGACTTAACTTTTTTTGTTGTTGTTTGTTTTTGGGGGTTTTTCGGGTGGTTCAGGTGATACGCAAAGACGTCCCATGATGCTCTTTGACAGTATATCAGGTGGAATCAAATCAGCAGTTGAGAGCAGATCAGTCGCAGGTCAACCAGCAGGTAAGTCACTGACTGAAGTCGTTGACTGTTTTCTTAGTCTGTGTAAGTGGAAGCACAGAGGACAAAATGAGGCAGGATTTTCTGTTTTATCACCTGTTTATAGAACTTATTCTTGTTGTATTTGTATTAATGTATTTCTATATGTTTGTGTGTGACTGCATGCACAAAAAAAGAGTGAGAAATCAGAATCATCTGTATCTTGTCAGCCCCATGATTTTTTACTTTATTTTGTACGGTCTCTAAGTAAGAAAACTGACTACCTGAAGAATGGAGAGAAACAAGAAAACCCTTTCACTGTTTATTCTGCTGCTACTGCTACTGGTCTGCAAAAGTGAGGAGTGTCCCAGCCTTCCAAAGAGTTAGTCGTCTTCTTTTCTCCCCTCTTGATTTATATCATATAACAAACTTTAAGATCTGTTTTTTGATATTTACTCATTTTCATCCCATCTCTCCTGTTTTAATTCTCACAGATCTCACTTGCTACACTGACTACAATAGAAACATCACATGTTTGTGGAACAGCAAATACGTGTCTGATGACACTGCATGCACCATACATGCTCAATATAAATCTCGCTACTTGTAAGGAGCTCAATCACAAAGAGAAATCCTCAACACATAATACTCAGAATATATAAATCACACCTGTCATCATGTGCACCAAAAAGAGATTAATACTGTTTTTTTTTTTCAGTTCTTACAGCGCTTCCTGTCACCTAAAGCCTTTTGATGTCTCCAGACCAGCGCTAAAGAAGTGCTCCCTGATCTTTGGAATTGAATACACTGTGAGTGTGTGGAAAAATCTAATTGTTTTCAAGCCCCAGATATACAATCATGTGTCCTATATGTCAGTTTGTAGTCTAAGTCGTGATCGATGTTGGATTAATTTTAAAAACTGGTTAGCCAAATTTATCAAGCATATACCGCAGTTAAAGAGAGAGGGGTCAATGAGCAGCGATCTTTAAAAATTGTTTTTTGCCAGAATCATGCTCTTTGACTTGCTCTTTGAATGTTCTGTATTTGAAGTGAAGTTTAGGTAATTATAGCTTTTGTCCTGCTTCTTTTTAATGGCATGAAAGTGAAATTGCAATGAAATCTGAAAGTACAGAAAATCCTTTTAAGTGAATCTATTATTTCTCATTTTCCGCTTCTGATATTTTAATT